CACTGCATGCCCACTTCCAGCCCGCGAACCTCACTGACGCTGGCCAGCTAGGGCCGTGTGCTTCCGAGAACGAGGGGGGTCGTTCCTGTTGAGTTCTGTATGTCTGTGCAGCAAACCACCCAAAATGCAGCGGCTTCAGATAAACAGCTTGCGGTTCCCATAGTTCTGTGGTCTGACCGGGTGGTCCTGCCCATGTTGGCTGGGGCCACTCCTTGGCTGCCTTCAGCTGTTGCCGACGTAAGGCTGGAAGGCACAAGGCACTCACTCCCCCACACGGCCTCCCCCAGTGTGTGGTTGGACCCTCCGTGGTGACCACCCATCTGAGGGAACGCCTGCCTGCCTGCGGCTGGGACATGTCCCATTCACCTAAGTGGTCACCGTAGGTCACAAGGTCACCCTGAGTCAGGGCCAGGACAAGACCCCATCCTGTGTGCAGAGCTTGTTGGGGGAAGGAGCCCACAGCAGCTGTGGGAAACGTGTCCCCCTTCCATCTGCACCTGCACACATCACTGAATCCCTGAAGGAAGCACTTGTCTCTAGGAAAGCTGAGCACATGCCTTTGAAGACTAGAAAAAGCGAGTTGCCCTCAGCTGCAGAATCAGAGATGAGGACAACTGTACACGGTTTGGGACACTTTGGAGACTCAAGCCGTGCAGGAGTCACGTGCATTTGCTCCAAGTACACTGACGTGGGGAGTGTGGAAGGACCAGAGCATGTGGTCTGCACCCAAGGGATGGGAAGCCCCGTCTGCCGTCAGATTCAGAGGAAGGCTCTGGCTGCCACCTGAGCTTGAGTGGTGACCCACGCTTTGCATTTGCAGCTGAAGTGCGATGTGCCAGGTGCACGTTGTGTGGGTCTCTGCTTCAGCCAGCTCAGCTCACAAAGCCACAGGCCGTTGCTGTGGGTCAGAGCCGCTGGGTCAGGGGGAGGGTCCTTCATCCTGTTGGTGGGTTTGGAAAGATAGAAAAGAAAGATTTTTGTGGTAAGTGAAAAATACATTTTCTACAAAGACGTGCTCACATAGCTTGATCACAGATATCATTTAAAACACATGGTGTGGGGCGACGACTCGCTGGTCTGGGCCGGTTCGCCCTTGCGTCAGTGTGTGCGGTGATGATGCTTTTGTCGTTTTCTCTCTTAGCTTCACCCTCCTGACTTGTAACACTGGTTTGTTAATTTTATTTTCACTTGTTTTAGCTGCTGGCTTTAGGGCATTGCCACCTCAGAACTTTCCTGACAGGGAAACGTGCAGAATGACAGCGACCAACCACAGACACCGCCGCAACTGGGGAACCGAGTTTCCAGTTGCGTTTAATTCCGATGAACTTAAATGGAAGTGGCCGTGTGAGGCTAGTGGCTGCCGTGTTGGAAAGTCCACGTCCAGTGTTCTTCCTCTTCTTTATGCCAACGTGCCCCACTGAGTTCATTGTCTTTTACCTGGTCTTTTGCCTAGAGCAATGCGCTGTCGGATAGGATTGGGGACAGCGAGTGTCCAGTCTGGCTCCTGCTTTCAGTCGTGTGCTGTGCTCAGACGTCTCTGACAATACGCGCTGTTTTTAGAGTATTCTCTGTTATGCTAAGGGAGACTCGTTACACTACTGTTTTATTTAGGGCTTTTAAGAATTAGGAATGGCTCGCACTTGGTCAAGTGACTTTTCAGGGTCAGCTGACGTGAACGCTCCTCTTTTCAGAGCGACCTTTCATTTCCTCATCGCCGTCTCAGAGACCGAGGTCACAGCCAGAGCTTAGCAGGCCGGTGCCCCAACCGCCTCATCGACCTGCTCTTATTTCTTGCTACCTCCGTGTGCAAACCCTTTCTTTCATGAAATCTAGGTGTTCACGGCTTTCCAAACACAGCTTTTCTCCCACTTATAGCGTCTTCGCGGGCACTGTTCTTCCCCTGGGAGCAGCCCTTCCTGCTGTACCTGCAGTCCTCGCGCTCCCGACCCATCACAGCCGCTGCTGTTCAGCACCTGCCTCGGGTGCTGTGAACTCACTGCCCGTTTGTACTGTATTTTGCTTTGACTTGCACAATGTCTTTAAAAATGTGAACTGGGCCAGTCCCATGGCGCACTTGGGAGAATGCGGCGCTGGGAGCGCCAAGGCCGCAGGTTCGGATCCTATATAGGGTTGGCCAGTGCGCTCACTGGCTGAGCGTGGTGCAGACGACACTGGGTCAAGCGTTGCAATCCCCTTACCGGTCAAAAAAAAAAAAAAAAAGTGAACTAAACATTCAAAAATGGATTTTTTAACAACATCATGATACACTTTAACTTTAGTTTTTAACAAAGCAGTGCATGTATGAGGGTCCCTCAAAAAGTTTGTGGAAAAATAGAATTGCAAGATAATAAAAATTTTTCCATCCTATAAAATTGAAAAAAAGCAGGTGATAGCACAAGGCTTTCGGTAAAGTCAGTGGCCTCTGGCCACCCTCCTCAGCCCCAGCTGTCTCTCTTAGGGCAACGACTTCTAGCTCTTATAGGTGTTTTCTCTGGTGTTTATTTTTTTATTATTTCTGAACAACATGCTTATGCTATTTTTTCTCTTTTTTCCAATTTGCATTGTCACCCGTTAAATTCCTACTGTGAGTGGCATCTCTCTCGTGCCATTCTGAGCACTCATGCCCTGCCCCCAACAGAGTCACGTCACCATTGCTGGTCACAGTGACAGCACCACAGCTGAGCCACAGAGAGTCAACATTTCCTCTCTTTGTAACTTCGCGCTTTTGCTGGAATCATGATTTTCTTGTTTTTCTGCTGTTTGGTTTTCTATCTCGCTGTCAATAATTAAGCATCGGACCTTAACCAGAACAACAGTGAGGCACTCTCAAGACAATCAGACGCATAAGGCCGTCGAGGAATCCCAGTTTTTCCTTAGACCCACTCCCTCTGGACCCCTCCATCGTCCCACTGCCGGGCCGGGGCTTCAGGCGTCCCAGGGTCCCATCCCTGTGAGGTGCCGTGGCTTCCAGAACTCTGAGCAGGGGAAGGGGGGCTTGGCCTCAGTGTTCAGAACTCAGACCTCGAGGTGCTTCTCCTGAATGTGGTCCAGCCAGTGCGGGGGCCTGGCGTCCGGCGCCTTCCCGCAGGCGAACCTCACGGCCTCCCGGCACTGGCCACAGCTCCCAGTGCCACTCCCAGCATGCAAAGTCCTGTCAACAGACGGACGGACAAAGGGAAGACTCGCTCAACGGCCGTTGAAGGGATGATGATGACGATGAATGAATGAGTGAGACAGAGACGTGCATCAGCCTCCGGCCGTGTGAGGCCTGCTGGGCGCCATGTGAGCCTCGCGCCTCTGCGGAGGTGAGGCGGGATGATCAGCACTGCTCTGTGATATGTTGTATTACAATTTAGGTCGTGTATTAACATTCCTTTAAAATGCCATAATAATATTATTATATAATTATTATTAAGGCAGAAATTTGTCATTCTTGGTGAAGAGAGTTGGAGCTTCAAAATAACCAACAACCAAACCGTCAGAACCTGCTGCTTTACGGAGGGGAGGGAGCTCTGTGAGTCGCGAGCGGCCTGGCGGGGGAGCCTGGGCAGGCCCCCTTCCTCCCCACCTTCATCACTGTCTCGGCACCAGCCTGGCCGTCTAGGCGGCGTCTCTCACATGCCAGAGCTGGAGGCGTTTGGCTCACGGGCTCAGCACTTAGCCGGCCACTGCTCAGACCCCTCGCAGCCCGACACGGGGCGGCTCCCCAGACACACTTCTGCAGTTTGCACTTACACATGATGACTCGTTCTGAAAATTTCTAAAGAAAACCAACATTTTCTCTAAATATGTCAGAGCATTAATATCGCATGGATTTATGTACTCATTTGAACATTGGTATGTCATCTTATTTAAGAATGAACATATTTTCCTTTTTATTCACAAAAATTTAGAAAATATCTTTATCTGAAAAACTTGGTTTACAGCCAACTTTTTAGAGGCATACTTGTATGATTGAAAGTAAAACACTCTTGTCTTCAAACCAAAAATGTGCATTCTCCGTCGATATGTTGGAGCAGTTATTATACAGGTCTGGATTTCATGCCAGAGGAGAACTCTGTACTTTGTTAGTCTTTGCCTCAGCTAGCACATTGCTCTTCTCATACTGAAATTTAAATAAAAGTTAAAATTTTAGAGGTCATAAAATATGGTACACAAGGGTACTTCAAAAAGTTTGTGGAAAAATGGAATTAAAAGATAATACGAATCTTTTCATTAATTTTTTGAAGACCCCTTGTGTATACCTCGGGCTTGTAGTAAAAGTCCTGGGCTTAAACGTGGATTCTATCGCTGTGTCATGCTGTGAAGTCATTAAAGGATGTGAACCTTCACGCTTTCATCTGTGAAATGATTAACACAACGTCTGTAGGATTTACCTTCACTGGGGGGTTACTAAGACCAAATAAGAGGTCTGGAAAATGTTTTAAGCCATACATCATACAAATTATCTGATCACTCCATGACAGTAACTAAGATTTTGTCACTAGTAAGGTGTCTTGACAGGTGGAAAATCAACCAAATGTTGTCAAATATTTTAATTTGTGCATCATCCTTAAAGTCGGGTCCCCCAGAAGCACAAGATAACTTCCTGCTGGCCCTCCCCCCCACCGTGGACCCGAGTCTCCCAGACTTTATCACACTAGGGATGCAGATCAGCCAGGAGAAAGTAACATTCTCCTAAAATTCAAAAAGTACACAGTGCATGTTGAATTACTCAAATGCTTTCTACCACAGATCTGGTTATTTCTCCAAAGCTAAGTAAAATGAATACATGTGGAACTGTGTCATATTTTCGATAATGTGGTCACTGCAAATTTGTTTCACAGAAAGATAATTCACAAGATAGTCATCTAACTGGGTTTCTCTGTTTGTAAAGCTTTTGAACAAACCGACCCTGCCCCCAGCTACACGCCCCACCTCCCTGCCCCGGCAGTGGCCTGTGGCTCCTGTGCACGGGGTGGTCTGCAGCCCCTCATCCTCTCTGCCTCTCTTCCTTCCAGGCTGCAGCGGGGTCTGGGACAACATCACATGCTGGCGCCCTGCGGATGTGGGAGAGACGGTCACTGTGCCCTGCCCGAAGGTGTTCAGCAACTTTTACAGCAGACCAGGTACTGTGGGCTGAACTCACGCTCCTCCAGGGCGCTGGCGCCCACCAGGGTCGGCTGGGGCAGGTGCAGCAGGTGCCTTGCCTTCCTGCAGTGACGCCTGTGGCCTCCCACTGCCACGCAGAGTCAGGGACACCACCCTCCTAAGACAGCCGGGTGGGAACCGCCCAGGGCCCATGCGGGGCCAGAGCACCAGGAATGTGTGTGGGGTGGCAACAGAACGAGGAGAATTAAATAGGCCCCGTCCCTGCGAGTCTGGGCCCCGTAACCCACAGACAGCGCAGCGGGGTCAGAGTTGGACGGCAGCCGCGCTGCAGGGAAGAGACCCGGCTGGCAGGTCCCGGCAGGTCCTCAGGCTCCGGCAGCCGCGGCTGCAGGACGTGCGTGTAGCGCTCTGAGCCTCACAGGCTCTCCCGGGAGGGGTGACCCCACAGTCCTCTGGCACATCCACAGCCCGTGCTCTTGTCTCTGTCCTCTCCTGCTCTGCTGGGCACCTGCTAAGCACACATGCTCTGTAGATAGAGGGAACACTGAATTTCTGAGCTTAACACAATTTTAGATGATTTAGGAGCAAATGGGGGGATTATAAGATCACGACTGCCTTTATTTCCTGGAATGTAAACCTGAATCCCACCATCATTTTTCTCCAGCACCAGCGGCAAAGCGGAGCCTGCCCTGTGCTGGGCGGTGTAGGGTGAGGGGCTGCTGCACGGGGAGCCTCCAGGAGGAGACAGCTGGGGCAGACAGGGCGGCCGGCTCGAGGACAGTCGGCACTTGGCTATAAGTTTCTCTTATGGAGATGAAACATAAGGCTCTGTTAAGAGTTTTCATTCCAAAATAACACTTAAAGTTAACACTTGAAGTTAACAGTAATTATGATTACGACTTCTGTTTTTATTGCTTTGTGGCACTTGTGTTTCTGAGGTCCCACTGTCCCCATGAGGCCAGTCACTGGCAGGTTTCATGGACGAGGAGGCTGAGGAAGGACTTGCTGGTGGCAGCCCCGTCCCCAGCTGCCCCGGCAGTGAAGAGCATTTTATGACAGAAGCTTCAGCACAGACTACACCGCAGTGACTAAGGCCAGTGTTCCTGGACATGCAGATAAGCTCTCTGCACGTTGCTTTCCAGGAAACTTAAGCAAAAACTGTACGAGTGACGGATGGTCGGAGATGTTTCCAGACTTCATAGACGCGTGTGGCTACAGTGACCCCGAGGACGACAGCAAGGTAGGGCTCCCAGCGCGGCAGGTCCCGCCTCCTCTCACACTCCACGGCGGGGCGTCCCGCCCGCCAGAACCACGCCGGCTTCCTTGCCCTGCGCAGCGGCGCTGCCGCCTGTTCTCCAGACCCCGCCAAGCCTGTTTCAGTTCTGCCACCCAGCACGCCGGCCATTTGATTGCTCACCTCGCCTGGAGACAGGGGAGGTGGGTTTTCTTTACCAGCCGTCAGTGTGTCAGGAGGAGGTAGTGAGACACATGACAGTGGGATCGACCTGCCCGACACTGGCTCTTCTGACCCCCTGAGCAGCACACCCTTCCTGCCACTTGGCTTTTTTCATCCCATTCAAGATTTTGCCACAGTCTGGGCTGTTGAGAAGTCACTGTGGTGGTTTTCTCAGCCCCGAACCCGCGGCAGGAGATGTGACCAAAGCTAAGCTAAGAGACGGGGTGTGTCCTCGCCATGAGGTGCCCGGCAGCAGGTAGCGGCCGGGGCTGCGTCTCAGGCTGTGTGGGGACCCTGCAGGGCAGCCCCTCCCGGCCACAGTCGCACCACTTGCCTGCAGTTTTCAAGGGGGTCCGAGGTGCTGTACGCCTGGTGAAACTGTCCGTGGGAACGTGATCCTTAAATGACTGAGGCTGTTTTTCCTGAGTGTGGACGGCGTCTGCCTTCGGCTCCAGTAAATCCTGCTCCGGGCCTGTCTGCGCACTTTCCCGGCCAGCGGTGCTGTAGGCTTGTGGTTTATGCTCCCACCAGGCAGGTCCCTGTCCCCGTCCCTCAGCTCTTGCCCACCTGCATCCCACGCCGTGTCGATGGCAGCACCTTGTAAACCTGCAGTCAGCACTGTGTAGACGTGCATCCCTTGCAGGGCGCGAGGCATCCCATGTGTGGAGAGACGTGAGGCTGCTTTAAGGAGTCTCAGGAAACAGCGAGCTATGCACAGAGACGTTCTCCTACCAGCCCACAGCGTGCTGGGGACAGTGACTCGCTCTGCAGCAAAGGCTGCCTCACGCCGCCCCAGTTCTCCCTCCCCATGTCAGGGAGGGGCGCCTCCCACCGTCCCAGCTCTGCCATCA